ACGCTTTCAGTAGTGCCGCAAATACTGCCGACTTTGGGATCACTGAGAATGACAAACCTTTCCTATTCTTCTGAACGTACGACAAGAAGCGCATAGTAACTAATAAAAAGGAGTTCACAACTTATATTCTTAATCTCATTTATTCGAAGCGTTTAAGTTGTTACATGAATACCTTCATTCAAACTCACTCGGTTCCTATCCACTCAATAAACGGAAATGGGATGAAAACAAACATAATGATGAGATAAACAGCAGCGCAGATCACTCCCATTGGTTCAGGTATAGGATCGTCAGACTTCTGGAACAAATTTATCAGGATGGCTAAAGTTTTACATTGTATTCCAATGAATGGTAACAGAATGTTACCATTCACGATCGCATGTAGTTCTACCCACGGGGTTACAGGGCTGTTGTCAATCGAAACTTCTCTGACTGAGACCAGCGGAATGAGGACGTGTCCACTTATTGCCCGTACTTTCCTCCAGAGCGCTTTTCCGTCAAGAGGGGAGCAGGAGGGGAGACTTCTCTTCAGCGATTGAGGATTCATATCTCGAAATGATAGAAGAAGAGAAAAGGAATTGGTTAATAAGGGAGAATGCGTTGTAACTTGCCAAGGGTTGTGACTGGTTGACAGTTTTGAGTACTACATTATTAACAAAACAACTACAAATAATCTTTACATGGACAAGTACACATTTGGTTTTGCAGGAATTCTAAACTTTTTGATACTTGCGATTTCATTATTTATGGATCGTCTGAACCCTACAAGCCGTAGTATTCGCAATGTATTGGATTGTATTAATAGATCAACTCTTTCAAAAATTCGCGAGCTTTTCGTCGGATATAATGAGCACGAAAGAAAAAAAAAGGTTTTTTAATGCTAAGTCAAGTAAACCTCACTGTTGTTAGTGCCCCACCACCAGAGTCCAGGTAGCATCACAGCAGAGAACAGCTTCGCTTCTTCAACAAAAAAGGGCAAGACGCTGTTCAGGTCTGTACCGGAAACCGACCAGTTGTCAAAGCGACTGCCTTTGATGTGTACCTTCAACTCCAAAACAGATCAGGTCGCACGGCTGCAAGTCGAGCGAAAAAGGTAGTTAGGTTCAGGATTCCATTTCTTTTCTACAGGCGCTGTCACTCGAGGTGCGAATGATTTCGTATGGACATGAGCTAGAAAGGTCTTTCGTAACTGTGTACTACGAACCATTTGTCCATCTTGCCGCCAAGAGACGATACAGTTTTTTTTTTGAGCGAAAACGTCTTTTTTAAATGGAGTCGCGCAAAGACAACACTCTTAAATTCTACAGCCACAATGAGCGTCCACTTCAGACAAGTGAGTTGTGTGTGAGTTATCCTGGCACTTCCTCATCTGCGTCCATCCACCAAGACGTTTCTCACCTTTGGGCTCAGCGTAAAACCCACTAGTGTTCCGTCTAGAGTCAAGTCGTTATAAAAGTGGCCGATGACTTTAGTGACGGAGAAGATTGTTACTGCAGGCATTATTTCAACTAAAACTTTCGCTTCTGTAAAAATCAAAGCATCCTATACATGCATTTCCCTAACACTCTTCAATTCTTCGGGCAAACGGTCCTTCTACGACGGAAACTTCTACAACACCGATGATCGACGCTTAATTTCGTCTATCCGCTCTTCATGGACAGAGTTAACATTATAAATACCACATCAGCCTTTTCCCTTACATTCTTCCTTCGTTAAACATTAGCACCAATTTCTCGATCATACGCTTAGAAAAATCAATGCTTTGAAAATGCTGATTTAGTTCATGATGACATTGAACAGCAGTTTTTTCTCTCAGAACACCAATTTGGAAATTTCACCTCGGTTTTGGCTTCTCGAGTTTCTTTTCAGTTTTTGATATTTCCTTCCACAGCTAATTAGCTTCTGATGAAAACAACGTCGATAGAACTAGCATTCACCCTTTTCACAACACCCCTTCAAATGATTGCGAACTTTTGAATGTGGTGGCCTAATATCAAAGCAGCAGTCATTGAAGAACGGCGAGTTCTTTCGTAGGTGCTCTATTCACCTGGAGGTGAGAAGCCTATTGAAGAAGGTACAGAGAAACAATAAGACTCTACACACGCGTGTGACAACGGCCCTGTAACCGTACACTAAGGGGCTACCTGACCACTGGTGCCACGTGTCCCTCAACCTCAATCACGTATACAACGGATTGAAAGGAAACCTCATACAAAAAAACGGGGCAGTAAGTAGGCAAGTGTTGCAACTGCGGGCTGCTACTAGTGTAAAATAAATATTAGTGTCCCATTTTTACAACTAAATCGGAACCTCATTACGTCATTATTATCTTATTTATTTATTAACGGACATGACAGTAGGCATGTGGAACAATGAAGTTATAACCAGTATTTGAATTCCAGAGACAAAAATCTAGAAAATTTATAAAATTACCTTGCACTGGTCGTTTCCATACATCTTTCGACTGATGAATATAGGAATGTATTCTTTTATAAGGCTCCTGCAGACAATGAATCCTAACAAAGACAAAGCTACGTTCACCAATACTATTAGTATGGTCATCGTTCCTGAAATTACAATCACGAGGATACTTGACTGAGATACACTGATGGGTGCTTTCAGAGTTCAACGACGTGCATTGTTTCACCGACCGACATCGTTGCTGGCCACGTGATGACAACGCCGCATAGATCGATACCGCTTACGCGTCTTTGAACGCAATCGTACTGTGTTGTCAACACGTGGCCACAGCGCCGTCGGTCGGTCGGTCGGTCGGTGAAACAATGCACGTCACTGAACTCTGAGAGCACTCGATGGGATTAGTACTGGCGAAATTTTGATCGTAATTATCAGGGTTCTGCGTAGAAACAAGTTTTTGGAGGTGGTTTATTGCGGGACCAAAGAATTGCCGTCCTAAAACATCAATATTGAGCCTATAGAACTAGATACACTGTATGTTTCCACGAACAACTCTCTTGAGCTATTGACTGTTTCTGCTCGAACCAATAATATTAAGTAGTCACACTATTTGTGCCGTTCTTTCAAAGTGGAGGTTTTATTTTAAAAATCATATTTCCCAACCATGTGATATACCAGTTAAAGTTATTAATTTGCACCACAAAACGTTATGCTTCTGCTAAACAGCTAAAGAAACATTGTGGTTCAAGTTGGCTTCCAGACTTGCGAAGTGTGAAGTAAATTCTGTAGAATTTGCTCACCCTGCAACTAACTCTACCTTTATTTGCATGCAACAAATCATCAAGCGATGCGCCATTGATCAGTCAGCGTGGCAACTTTTCTAAATGAGGCTTTCTTCTGAAATCCCGTACTCCTACATACCACCTCGACCGACTGTAATTGCTGTTTGTGGTAATTATGCTGTGTGTAAAGTGTTAAACATTAAGCAAAGAAATGCTCAGTGAAGATTTGAGAAGAAAGCCTGATTTGGCAGAACAGCTAAAGCTCCAAGCAATCTCCAACCTTTGGAAGAGAAAACGATTTTAAAAAGAAAACGACAGAACCTGATGAATAATCTCAGATGTTTGAAAGAGATCATGGCTAAGTCTACAACAGATCTCTGGGAGCTTCCCTGAATAGGAAAACAGATTATTACCTGTCGGTTTTGCTTTTGTTTTCTTCGACTATATTTACATTTTTCAAGCCTGAAATGCAACCTTAACCATAATTACTCTGTAAGCAAAACATACCGCTTTGTAGTGCAGATTAATAACTTGCTTGACGTAATATGAAAACAAATTTCATAGAAGAAATGCCATGTTGTAGAACGACTTCAATTCAGTTTGAAAGTTGAAAAAAGGGTGCTAAGATTCAACATCTCACAGCCTCAGCATTGGGTTTTGACCATATACTTTAGTATTAGGGGGTAGCATTAGAAATCCCTGAATTTTTTCTATTAGAACCACCACTTAGCATGATACAACTTACACAAGAATTTTTTCTCTAGAAAGCAGTTACTTTTCTTAGTTTATGGTCTGTGATGATGGGAGTGGAGCTGAGATTCATGAGTGGGTCTTTCTTTTAGGCAAATTCCTTTTCTCGAGTGGCAGACCTCAAAAGTTTGTGAGATGGCTTTAGATTCTAGTATCTACTCCATTGAGCGAAATAAAAAACCAAACTGGCAGTTCTGCTGTAACAGCAAGTGATACTGTCTTGAAGGCAATTCGTCAAAGGCAATCCACTCGCAGCTAAATCTACACCCCGAAAAATTAACGGGCGAGTTGTGCGCGACATTTGTCAACTTTTTGCGTCAACTGTCTAACTGAAAACCAGGCAATTCGTTGCGGGACCATAGCAGCTACCTCTCAACGCCGATCAATGCAACTTCCCCTCTTATTCTCTTATTCACTACATTATTTTGCTGCGATTCTGATCTGGTATTCCTCTATTCTGCAAGATTCTGTGCTGAAACTACTCTGCTGCCATTCTACTGGATACCCTGCGCTAACCGAGGCTCAAGCACTGTTCGCCTTTCATTTGTGCTGGTACTACATTCTACTTGTTACCCATTCACACTTTGGCTTTTGTAACTCGTATTCCGTATTTGACAATTCTGACTCTACTTTGCAGTGACTTCGTATTTGACGCTGCTTGTAATTATAATTCTGTTATTGCTATTCACCGTAGCCTGCATACTGGGAAACACTTGTGGTGAGATTTAATCTACATTTATTGCTTCTTCGTTTCTAACTTTTGTTTTTTAATTGTTCTTGCGCCTTTTGAGATTCATTCTGTGTATTGCTTTCATATAGCTGTCTTTTAGTTTTTTCTGCTTGAATTCTCTCCTAGTCACGCATTTATGCGGCAGCATATAACTGAACTGTGGGAGGACTCATATGATTCTACCCCTCTTCATTTTTATGCTGCTTCGGAGGTGAATTCACAACTTTCTCGCTAATGTCCACCATTCTGCCTCTCAACCAAGCAATGAGTAGTTTTCGCTGCATCTTCTCCACTTATATTCTTTAACTGCTTCCACGAACTCTTCTCTTGATCGATTTTATCCAGTAACCGTTCACAATTACAACAGCATTATTAATTCTACAATATGTAGAAATTCAGCGATGATTTCTCATATCTCCTTGACCCTTAATTTTTTACATTAAACCCCGTGTTCCTGACCCACATTAAACATGGATACTGAATATCTGT